TGTCTGTGACTGTGCTATTGTTTGTTTTAGTTGGTTCTTTGCATCCATAATATATATTGTCATGCATTAATGAGTAATTAAAAATGTATTGAGGCTGACTCCATATTCTACCGAACACTGCAAGCAAAACGCCCTATAGGCCCAAACTTCTATTATACGAGGCTGGCGTACTACCCATAATTGTACGCTTGTATGTGTTCTGCGCATACTTCAGGTAGCGCAAAATGTATTCATCCGCGTCGCCATCGGCGCAAGATCTACACAAGCAATGAAGGCTCCAGACGTCACACGATCAACTTTAGAGAAGTAATAAAAAAGTTTGAGAGAATCGTAATTCATCCCAATCCACCGATAGTAAACGCAATAAAGGAAATTACTGACACTTACCCCGCCTTATAATTAGAAAACGATGGAGCTTTTTTAGTTTTCGTGTAATCGTCATTAAACCGTGGGTTGTAAAAATAATCTAGAAACTGACACAACGGAACTCTATTTCAAAATCATGCTTATCACGAGAAAAAAACCGATGTAAGTAATTAAAACGATAGAGCACAAATCATTAAGTTGAAATTTTATTGACAGAATGAATGTAATTAATATGATTGCAAAATACCCTAGTTCGAATTTCAGAGATCAAAAAAATTGATCATCCTATTGGCGGCAAATTTGTAAATCCGCCACTGGTCTTTATTCAATATAATATGAATTAATTAATATGCATATTTATAAACATTGAATGAGGATGTTTTTAGGTATTTGTGACGGAATATTCTTTTGTTGGATATTTTTTTGGTGTTGAACAGCCAAATAGGTTTTCTAGACACATTTTGACGACAACAAGAACAAAACATTTTTTACTTATATATTAGCGAATAAAGAATTTAGTTTTTGACCAAAACTCCAAAACACCGTGTTTTGGAGTTTTGGTCAAAAACTATTAAATCGTTGAGTCCTGGAGTTTTAAGCGAGTCACTATAGACGTGTGTGGCTTGGCGTCGTCCTGACGGAACCCAAAATTTCTCCCGTTGGCCAATTATGGTTAGTTCCTGGTCGTACACTAGCTTCAAACCGTCCCGTTGTTGGCAGTTGAAGCCTTGCTTCCCAAAGTACCATCAAGTAACCAGGCCTAGCAGATCTCCTTGCTGAACGTTTACATCAGCATCTATAATATTGTCCTCGTAAAATAAATTAATCTTTTGACTACAGTGCCAGACATAATGATAAATTTCTGGTGTACGGTTAACCACTGCCTTTTGCAGTAATAATAGAGTTAAAAGCATTCCGTAGTTCAATAGTATAAGTGCAGCAATATCAGTACTATTAAAACTTGTAGAAAAATCAGTAGTAAAAAGAAATATCAATAGTAGTTAAAGAGATTGAAAGGGAATGTGTAGCTGCTTCACACCTTTGCTTCCAAAGCTTATTGAACTTAATTACGCGAAGTTCGTTTCACTGGTGGAGATTATGTATTGTAATTTCATCATCATAATAATTTCAGCCCTAAACCGCCCTACTGCATATGGTAGGCCTCCCAGCAAACTGCCATGATGCACGATCCTGAACCACCTGCGTCCATTCACTTCCCGCGCAGCCTGTAATTCCATCCAGTGCGAGTTCTTCCTACAGTACGATGGCCAATACGAGGCTGCTACTCCTTTCGATTCCTTCTCAATAGATTTAGATTCATCTAACCGAAGGAGAAGAAAGGTTCCCCATCTATTTTGTAGTTCGATAATTTAAAGATTATTCTATTGCTATTAAAATAATATCCGTTTTCAAGATAAAGATGATATCGTTTCTCACAGAAAACCCTCGAGAGAAATCCTCCATTAAATATTAGGATGATTTAAAATAAGGGGGAACATTGGAGACTGGGTGGGTGGTAATTAAGAGACATTCTTTCATTGAAATGCACTATATTTTCATTTCAGATGCAATGAAAACTACAATGTCAAAATATAAATGTTACGACGAACGTAAACGTTATAAGAAAATATTCTCATTTTTACATCGAAACGTTGTAACTACATACTTTGCATACGTGTGCTGGAAACGAACAACTTTGTGCCAAACACCAAAAATTCAATGGCGTGATGACCTCAATGCAATATGCAATTTCGTAATATCTAATTTGTCCGAAAGATCTCCCAACGAAATTTTCGTAATGAAAAACAAGTTGTCTTTAATAATTCCCATGCAATGCGGTCACCACACTATCACTGACTAGATGAAAAACATTTCTAAAGTGCTCATTTCAAAGGCAAAATTTAAAACGCGTCTTCCTCGCGTCCTTGCTCGGTCGCGAAATTAACGACTCAACTAGAAACATTATAAAACATCTTTTAAAGTAAAACTTTGCCGACGAAATGAAAGAAAAAAAAACGTTAAACTAAAAAAAAGCTGCTGAACGGTTTCAACTAACGGATATTTGCAGTCCTCCAAAAATTCAGTTACGCCCAAAACATAGAGCAAAAAGGAAAAGTATTAATAAAAATTCGGTACAGAACGCAGACATGGAGAATGCATTTTTTCTAGTGCATAGAATAGGACGGTAAATAATTTATCCAAAAAAAAGAAATAACTTCGTAAATTTTAAAACCGTTGGACTAATAAGATCGTTTTACAATTCCTTATTCTCTACAATTTTAAGACGGTGAATTCTTTAGACGGATTTTGTGCTATGACTGTGAAAGAATTATGGTGTAAAATTAAAGAAAACATATCAATTATTATTATCGTATTTAAAACCATAATTGTGCACTTTAGTATAACATATATAGTTTAACATAACAATACAACATTCATTGGTTCCAGTTTTATGTTACCACAATTTTTATTAAAATATGATAAAATCGGTATCTGATATTTTGTTACATATTGTCAAAATATGATTTTTCCAAGCAAGGAAATTTACATTAATTCGATTATAAAGAGTTAGATACATTTAACTATACTAACTGGAAGTTATCTATTGCTTATGATTTCTTAAGAGGCATCCGTTAATTATCGCTAAACAGTGCATATAAACTTAGTTCGCGTTAACACCTGTACAGTTTTATTTCTAATTTCATACATAAAATAAATTTGCTGCTATGCAAAATTGGATAAGGTAACAAATTGACAGAGAAAAATAAAAAGTGCACGACAAGTATTTACACTTTGTTCTGTCACTTTGACATGTCCGATACACATCGTATTCAAACACATCGTAATCGAAAGGCACAAATAATTTAAGTACTTAAATACGAACAAACCCTACGATAAAATATATAAGCCACCAAAATGTTCAAAGTAAAGTAAAATAAAATGACGCAATACAACACAAGATGGTCAAATTACTTAATATTCAGTAGACACGGGTGCGTACAATTGCGGCCGCTAACGTTTAGGTTAAAGGTTCCTTCCTTTATTCACCTATTTCTAATCGGCAATTCATAACTGCCTTCACCTATTTAGTACACAAACGATATCTTAGCCTATACGGTAATAGAAATCCTCACATAGTTACAGTTATAATATATATTTTTACATAAACTCACTGTATACCCATAACCATTAGACCGCCGTCACTAATATTTGGCACGCCACATAACCGTGTAGCTCTTAACCATTTACAGATAATGCTAGAAGTGAATTGAAAATAAAAAAAAAAGCCTAACGATAGCTATTTACATAGGAACGACTATCTGTTTAATATTCAACGTCCTTTAGTGTAATACATTTTTTCGATCATAGATTATTGAGGCCACTATAGGCACTCTGAAATATATTTCGGTTAATTTTAACGCGGATTTGTGATGTGCTTATTGTGGATTTGCCACACTTCGCCCGGTTTCCGAAACGCCGATCGTCGTAGAGATTAACTAATCAACTGTCAAATGGCTTCTCAAACATCATTTGAGTGGCGAAAAGGATGGTTTAAACTCTTTGAATTGATCAGAAATGATCAAGTGTTTACGATGATAAGTGTTTCAGAAACCGGGCGTTAAAGCAACAGAGTTGCGGTGAGGTAGGTTATTGATTCCTTTATCTTATCCAGTCCGATATTAATACTATTTTTATATAGTCTCGCTGTCTCGCAGCAGTAGGTGTCGATTTTTGAGCGTTATTTGAAACGCATGTTTTTTTATAATAATGTTTTATTAACTGCAAATTTTTCTCTATCATTTTGTCTAGACTTCTCTCGGAAGGTTCTGTTGTAGTTAGCTTAATCCAAAACGACTGTAATCGTCCTGAATTTCATCCAGCCACTTGTCTTTTAAGGTACATGTTCCTTTAGGTAACTTACACGTCAAAATTAGGACAATACTAACTTCAATTATTTCAATTGCTTAGAGAACATACTGAGAGGTTAGTACTATTCAATTAGCATTATATTTAAGTCACATACCCAATTATAATTAGTTTTATGCTAATGTACATTTTCTGATTTAGTATAGTACTAATTATTTATTCTTACGTAATGTAATGATGTACGCTGAAATCCGTTATTGTTTGGAGAAATTAACAAAAATATATGTTTAAAATTAACAAGGTACAGGACAACAGGTGTACCAGCCTTTTTCGTTTACCTTTAACAAATTAATAATTAAACAAATTAATGACATAAAAAATACAACATTATTGATGAGGAGTAATGTTACATGTTCCTTTTTTAGTTGGTATGGTACAGAATTATCACTTAGATCGATCTGCTAAATTGGCATACTCTTTCTGGAGGATGTGAGCACTGGGGATGTTCTGGAAGTTTCCAGATCGATTTTCTAGGACGTCCCGCGAAGATCACGGGCAGCAGTCGACGTCAGCAGCTCCAGCAAATCTTCAGGGTTTTCCGTTAGAGGCGACTGTAGTAACGCCGGTACGTTCCGTATCCGTGATCCGCTTACAACAAAGCGAGAGCGCTGTGTATAATTGCGGTCACCGTGCCGCATCGGACATGGAACACGTTCCGGACGGCCGCACGAAACACGTTCCGGACGGCGCATGGAGCGTGTTCCGCGATGACGCACGGAACACGTGCCGCGATGGCGCACGGAACACGTTCCGCAATGGCACACGGAACACGTGCCGCGATGGCGCACGGAACACGTTCCGCAATGGCACACGGAACACGTGCCGCGATGGCGCACGGAACACGTTCCGCGATGGCGCACGGAACACGTTCCGCAATGGCGCACGGAACACGTTCCGCAATGGCGCACGGAACAAGTTCCGCAATGGCGCACGGAACACGTTCCGCAACGGCGCACGGAACGCGTTCCGCGCCGCCGCTTGGCGCACGGAACACGTAGGACGTGCCGCAACGGCGCACGGAACGCGTTCCGCGCCGCCGCTTCCCCCTCGCCGGTTAGGAGGCGAGCGCGCTGCGGTCGATGCTGGCGTACTCCTTGCCGGAGCGGGGCCTCGCCGCGTGCCGCTCCGCCGCGTCGCACGAGCTCAGCGAGGAGACGGACAGCGACTCCATGTAGTCCGAGGTGTCCGAAGCGCCGCTCGACGTGCTCTTGCTCGTCAGCTGGCTGTGGCGCGCCTCGGCGGACGCCTCGCCTGCACAGGCCAAATACGAGTTCGTTTTTTTTTTAAATGAACACTGCTCTCGCTTTAGGATAACATTATCATGTGTGCTATGGACGTTCCAAGTCTTGTTAAAAATTCGTTTAAAAAACAAAAACATTCTCCTCACTGTAGGGTAACATTATCCTCATTATCAAGACGTATTTTTGCAAATAAACTTCGAGTGGACAAACACCCAGATGCGAAGCAATTATCCGTGGGTCACACAAATAGTTATCCCATGCGAATCTGACCCATGACCCCAACGCCGAAGCCAATACATTGCCAACTGCGCCACGGAGTCTTCAGACGTTAAACATCATAAGGAAATCAGCATTATATATCTAAAAAATTTGCTTTAATTGAAAGAGAATATTTTGAAGATAGATGAAACCCGCTACGTGTTAGACTATAACTCAATATCCTGCGAAAGAGGCTGTACTTTTTCTTTCTTAGTGGCAAAAGAGCGGCTCGTGTTCGCTGTTCGTTTTATTTTTTTTTTGTCGTTTGTTTTACTAATAAAAATGGTAAATGTGTTATGGAGTAAATATTGCTATTTAAGAATATGAAATGTCATCAACGCAACATTATCGGCCCAACTCACCCGCCTTCTTCTTGCGTCGCGTCAGCGTGTCCACGTCGAACGAGCTGGACTTGGCGAGCGCGGCCACCTCCTCGAAGTGGAAGCTGAGATGCTTCAGGGGGTCCGAGGAGTTGGACCTGGCGAAGGGCGCGTGCACGGGCGCCAGGGCGGCCCGGAACTGCTTGCTCTTGGGGTGCCGCTTGTGCTGCTTGGGGTTGGCGCCGTCCATCTCGTTCAGGTCTCCGCGGTGGTGCTTCAAGGAGCCAGTGGAAACGCCGGAGTCGTTGGAGCTGGACGAGTCCCTGTTCTTGTCCGACTTGCTGGGCACGCTCGACGAGCGGCGGATCTTCACCGCGTCCCTGAACCTGGAATCGACGACGTGTATACACGATACAGGGTGGCTTTTCTAAGGGTGCCCAAATTCCAACAGGGTGTTCAGACTCGGTAGTATAATCGTTTATTCAAATAAAAACAAACTGTGTTTTTTTTTTGTAATAAATTGACCAATTCCCTAAAAAACAGAACGTGTTGACAATGCGTTAGTCATTCATAAATGGTTAGTATATATTTGAAGCGAACTTGAGTGCGTGTTAGTTATGAATGACCGCGCGTAAAATAAATGAGTTGCCCATAAATCACGCACTTTTTGAGAATAGTTAAAATGAATGTAATTAATTATATACGAGTGACTTTAAATATTTATCATTTTTTATATAACATTATTTATGTCTAGAATTTAATTAAAAAAAATGGATACACTTAGAAAAGCCTTCCTGTATATATTTATTTATGTACGTATTTTGTATTTGAACACGTTTATTTCTCTGTATGTACATATTGCGATACATTGCAATATTTTTAACCCTCGGGTGTAGCGGATGTCCATGGGCGGCGGTTTTCACTTAACATCAGGTGAACCGTCTGCTCGTTTGGAAACTTTTAACATATAAAAAAAATATATTATTAATATTTTTTATATAGTGCAGTATTGTGTTTTATGTGATATTCCTTATAAATTTGTTTTGATTTTTTCAATGATTTCTTATTTCTTAACAATCAATGCTGGGTGAATACTTCTCCAAACCACCGAAAGGTCGGCTGGTAGAAATGCTGGGCATAAATCCTCCTCTGTACATGTTTTGTGTGCGTAAAGTTTAAATAAAAAAAAATAGAAACCTGGCGACTAGGGCGCTCTCTGTCCTCGGCTCGGGCGTTTTGAAGGCCGTTTCCTTGCGTGTGTGCGCGCTCTCGTTAATGCGCTCCGTTTTGCTCGTCTTCCTCATCACGGTCGGCGTGAAGCAGACCCTCGGCGCGGGGAATTCCTCCCGCTGCCTGGTGAAGTCAGCCGAGCTGGATCTCCTCGTGCTGACTGTGTTCTCCGTGTCGGAGTGCTGAGTTGGGTCCGACACGTGGCTTATTCTGCTGACGTTGTCCGATAAATTCCTGCTCGAGCTGTCCATCGGTGTGTAGTCGGAGTGGTCGCAGTTCGGGACGGCCGTGTCCAGGGTGGCGGTGGAGTCTTCGTGCTCGGGAATGTCCTCCAACGCGTCCAGCTCCTCCTGGCTGAAGCCGGCGCTGCGCAGTATCTGCAGGGAGCTCTCGAACTTCTCCAGGGTAGCGTTCAGGTCTATGTTGGCGTAGTTCCCGTAGTCCAGCTCGCCCTTGGTTGGCGTCACGTTCACGTAGTTGCACTGGTCTGGCTCGTTGGTATCGCACGCGTCCGGCTGTCTGGCTCCTTCGGATTTGTCGGCGCTGTGCGAGCAGACGCACGCTTGGCCGTTGATCAGGCATTTCAGTTTCTTTGGTGTATCGTACAGGCTAGCGGCGTCTGAGCGCGCCGAGTCCGGATGTTCCTGCAACAAAAAGGCAGCAGTTTATAAATCTGTTCTGCTAATAAAAAAAATTATGGTTTTCACCTTCTGCAGTGACCGGACCTACGTAGTGATGGACAGTGGGTGTACAGTGATTTCAGATAGAATTTAATTTCATTTAGCCAAGGATCAAGCGATACTTTGAAGACTTCGCAAAACGGGCGGGCATCATAACGCGATATTTACACGTAAGACTGTTTCTGAATGTATTCTTCACGATTCTTTGCATAAGAAACAAAGCTTCGATAATAACTGCTTGAATGCCAAACAAAACCACTAATAGATGGCGCTGAAATCGATAAATACGAAAAGGCAAGAGTTATAGTCAATTCATCAGTGACAATCATTTTGACAACAATTACATTGATTTGTACTTTGGGTAATGTTTCTATGGGATGACATGGTATGCAAAACTCTTTTGCTTGTTGCTTTATGGAATGACTAGCGACCCGCCCCGGCCTCGCACGGTTGCAATGTTTTATACATATAAGCCTTCCTCTTGATCACTCTATCTCGTAAAAAAACCGCATCAACATCCGTTGCGTAGTTCTAAAGATCTAAGCATACATAGGAGCAGACTGACAGCGGGACGGCATTTTTTTATACTGCAGTGAAGAAGATAATGATTTCTCGCTACTTAACATCTGTTGAGATGGCAATCAAGTATGAAGTATAAGGTACTGCACCTTATAAATAAAAATAATTATATCGGATAGCTATGCTTCGGTCCGCCATTTCATTAGCATCTATGCACCCAAGTAATGTCATAATGAATGCTTCTCGCTTTTACATCGAATGAATCACGGCATTACCATAATTGTATTGGACCTACCTGTATCAGGGGCATGGGCGTCTTTGGCACGTCGTAGTTCTCGTAGGGGCCGTTGTACTGCTTCTTCCGGCAGCTGCAGGTCTTGGGCTGTTGCCAGCACTGGCAGGTGTTGCCAGTCTTCACCGGCACGGTGGGCGTGCAGCAGGCGACGGGGCTGCCGCGTTTCGACTCGAAACTCTTGTCCAAGAGGCAAGCGCCCCTCGGCACGGAGTACTCGGAGGCGCTGCCACTAGACCGCGAATAGATGGACGCCCTGTCGGAGTCTGAGCGTTTCTCCATTATGTTCTCCATCGTCCAGACCGGGGACATCATCGAGCCGGGCGTGGCCATCGTTGATGATCTGGAACCGTTCGTGGATTTTAAAATCTTTGGGGGAGATTAACGTGTCACCTAAATTTTTTCATTTAATTTTAGCCAATACTTTCTTTAGTGAAACTTATTTCTGTATAACTCATTATTCAATACCTGAAACAGTTATTACCCAATCTACTTCGATATAAAATCTATTTATTTTTGGGTTTTAGTGGGTTTAGCCAGGGAGTGAGAAGTTTCCTACTCACCGAGGCGAGAGACACGTCTGCACCGGTGCTGGCAAAGTTTGCAATATTACAGTACAAGTACAGACTACAGTTGGTATTTCATAAAAGGCTCACCTGGTGAGTTGGCTCATCTTCCCCATGCAGCTGAACGAGCAGCGTGGCAGCGAGGTCGGCCTCCGGAACTTATCCTCGTTGCTATCAAGGCTGGAGTCCAGGTCGGAGAGGCAGTGCATGGTCTGGCTGGCGGGGCCGTTCCAAGCGGGCGAGACGGACCTCATGGACGAGTGGAAACACTCGTCCGCGCAGGAGCTCGTGTCCGAGAAACGCTTCTCCAGCACTGCGGGGGGAGGGAACTATTGTACGATGAGACGGTTCGTTGTAACTATATGAAGAAGTAGCGACACGACTCGGCTTCGCACGGGTGCAATGTATTATACATACAAACCTTCCTCTTGAATCACTCTACCTAGTAAAAAAACCGTATCGAGTCCGTTGCGTACTTTTAAGGATCTAAGCATACATAGGGACAGTCAGACAGCGGAACGACTTTGTTTTATACTATGTAGTGACACGCTGCGTCCATATAAATCTTCTCAAATGGTAGTATTGAGTAAACAGAAATCTTTTAGTCACGACGCTCCGCAAAAAATACTTCGAAGATATGTTAAGTCCGGATCGTGTAGTTGACTGTCTTTTTTTTTTTTAAACATTTTTGGACACATTTCTACACAACATTTTCTAGTCCCAAACTAAGCAACGCTTGTACTATGGGTACTAGAAAACTGATAAAAATACTTAAAACATACTTTTCTTTTGTAAATAAATACATATTATAGATATATAAACACCCAGACACAAGAAAAACACTATGTTCATCACACAATATTTTTGCAGTAGTGGGGATCGAACCCAATTTTTTTTTTTTTACTTTATACCATCTGTACGGAGGCCTTTGTCTAGCAGTGGGACAAGTATTGGTACTTTACTTGCACTTACCAGAGCCACTCCTGGAGGCGACGCTGAGCCGGGACTGCGCCTCGTGGGTGTGAGCGTTGAGGAGATCGGTGAGTTCCCTCCCTCCCTCCGCAGCAAACACAAATAGGCCTTCGCCGCGGCCGCACCTGGAGCCTCCCTCCACGCAGAACCGCTTGTCCACTAAGCCGAAGCGCCTGAAACATTAATCCAATATCGCATCATTGAAAAACATTATTAAAAAAGAATGCAAAATGTTTAAAGATGTGATCCTAACAGAGATTGAATTCATAGCACAGAATATATTAGAATTACCTTGTAAAAAATTCTTCTTTAATAGAATTACGATGGCAAAGTCACAGACAAAGCTAGCTAGAGCAAAATAAATGGTTGATAGTCTAGAGTAGTTCTGGAAACATTTCACGAACTACGGAAACAGTAGAGATTAAAATATCCAAAATTAATTTTTTCTTTTTTTTATGCGAGAGGTGATGTGGCAAGCCAGCTAGCGGTTCACCTGATGTTAAGTGAAAACCCCCACCTATCGACGTTTGCAACATCCGTAGGGTTGCATACCTTTTAATAAAGTGGGCCCAGACCACCTCAATCACCAGACAAAAAGCAGAAGTATTACACTTCCACTCCACGCCGGTCGTGTCACATGTGAATTTTTCTGTCTGGAATTATTTAATAAAGAGTTGCATCATTAAATCGACAACCCAAATGGCGTAGTCGGTAGTGTACCTGCCTTCTGCGCCAGAGGGTGTGGGTTCCATCCCCACTACTGGAAAAATATTGTGTGATGAGCATAGTGTTTTTCTAGTGTCTGGGTGTTTATATATGTATAATGTGTATATATTTACAAAAAAGAAAAGTATGTTTAAGTATGTCTATCAGTTTTCTGGTACCCATAGTACAAGCATTGCTTAGTTTGGGACTGGAGAATGTTGTGTAAAAAGAACGTGTCCAAAAAAAAACAAACAAAAATGTAATTTTCTTTATTGAGCATCAACAGTAGCTGTCTCACAACAGGCCACCTTTACCAACTGATCCGGCTGACTCCATTCCGTGAAAGGCCATCCGTTCACTCCTTAACCGACCCACAAACGCCCACATCATCAATCACACAACACGGACGGACAAAGGCGCAAACTTTTACGCTAATTAAATATACTCCTTCCTGATTAATTAGCAACGTACGGGCGGCGCGGCAGTCGATCTTCTGCCCCGTCAACGGTTCCATTAACGGACAAAACGCAATTGTTCTATTAGTTTTAATTCACCCTAAAGTTTTACGGCACCGGCGTAATAAATGTTTCAGCGACTCGAAACGGTCGACTATGCGGGTGGGCTTGCTCCAGAAATGATTTCTTTAGTTTCGTTGGTGTTTAGATGGAGAAGCAAACGTTTGTACTGGCCTCATAATTTTTACCATCGAAAATATCCGTCAATATAACTTTCAACTGTAATACTTAATTGAAAATCTTCTGTGTGTGTGTATCTATGTGATTAACTAAAATAAGACAAAACTATAATTTTATAATTAATATCTAACTAGCTGCTGCCCGCGACTACGTCTGCGTAGAATAGGCTGAAGGCGTAACATTCAGACAGAAGGCAGATATACATAAAATTTGTATATAAATTATAGCCTATGTTTTATTCTCATGTATAAGCTATATTATTGTAAAGTTTCATTAATATTCATTGAGTAGTACTTGCGTGAAAGAGTAACAGACATCCATCCATACATACAAACTTTCGCCTTTATAATATTAAGTAAGGATTGAATATAATTGTAATAATGTAATGGAGAAATAAGCATTGTTATTTACTATGATTATTTTCAGAATTAAAACGATTGCTATTTGTTTTCCGCGATGCAAACTGATATCCCTGAGTAATACAGTCGTAAACATGCTTTTTAGGACTGTATTCATTTAAATGTTTTTTTTTAATGAAATAAAGCAATTATCGTCACTAATTACAATATTTCTAGAGTGCCTCGGAAGGATAAAACATGGATGACATACTCCAAGAACCGTGCATATAAATGGAGTATGCAGTTTAATTTGGAAAAAATCCCGAAACCCTATCACCGTCCGACATCTGACACGTACCACAGATAACATATTCAACATGACGCGGGAGCACAGACTGAACGCAACAAACGGACGCCGCGCGACGTGATTTATTGCGTGACGCCTTTTAAATGACAACGCTGGAATGGGATTTTGGACGGGCGCAAATCCGGGAGTAGCGCGGAAATGATTTGGCCGCGTTGGAATCTCATTTCGCGGACGGCGGTGCTGACTGGCAACGGCGAATTTCATGGGTGCCCGACGTCCACTCTGCAGAACCCTCGGGGGTGAGGGCGCCGCTGTATCGGCACTGGAAGCGGCAGCGGGTTTTTTTTTACTAGATAGAGTGATTCAAGAGAAAGCCTTTATATGTTATACATTGCGCCCGTACGAAGCCGGGGCAGGTCGTTAGTTATAATTATTAATACGAAGCTAGTGTTTAAAATAAAGAAGTACAGCTCGCTTTTATTTCAATATACTCGAGCGAGTATATTGAATTGAACATAAATGTAGAGTAACGCTTGAATAAGAAACGTTACACTACATCCATTTCGGCATTCTGAGATCGAACATATAAATTTCTAAAGTATATTTTTTTTGGGATTAAATTATAAATGACATAAAACTTTAAGGCACATGGAGCATAAGTCGCATATAGTTACTTATACTTATACTGAGATTAGATATTTTTAAAAAAGAATGGTATTTCCAAGTCAACCTTAGCCAGAAAATTTCAAACAATACGTTTTTTGTAATCGTTATTTTATAGCGAATAAATCATTAGAACAAAGACATACATTGTCATAACGTCTGATGAAGATTCTATATCTTTGTAACGGTCTAGGGCTAGGGGTCTGCGGAAAGCCAAGGATCTGAATTGATCCTGGGACCGACGGGTTCCTTTGACTCGTCTAATATCCCTTCTTTGTATGAATGAAATTGAATCCGACATTTGAGGCGGGATTGTTTTCGATCCAATTACTGGAGTTCTGGAGTTCAGATTGTACGCAGCGATTGCGTTTCTAAAATACAAAGAGATGAACATTGCCGGCGAATGGAAAATATATCTCCGAATCGCATCGGATCGCTCGACGTTGACGCGGCGTTGATAAAAAACGACGAAACAATAGTTAACTTATACCGAAGCGACGAATAATAAAACCGACTAGTCTTGCTAATAAATCACTAGAACATTTATGACTTGAAACGCTGCATTCGCTTTCGTGGAGCAATTTGAACGTTAAGTGTGACTGCATAAGGACTAAAATACTTCATCGTGCTTCCGCGTATTATTTTGTGTCCTCATATTTATCAGAAAACGGGGAGACTGAACATTAATACCTATTAGTTGCGAACCTAACGATGTTTTTTTTTAAATTGATAATTTTGGAATTTTAATATATTTTCACAAACCATAGATTTATGGCTGAAACGGTGTACACGGTAGATAGTGTTCAGTTTTCAGATACAGTACATATAGCTTACAACGAACAACTTGCGTTTATAATGAATTGAGATGGATGTGTTACATAAACTCAATTTCGATCACATAACAGGCAGTATGAAAAATGAACAACCCTTATAAACGAGTCGACCTGTATCCCATCGCAACATAGCTATTTATTAAGATTGTTAGCGATAGCGACAAGCAATTTGAAAATTACGGTGGTAGGGCCATGCAGCAGCCTCGGCTGTTGCACGAATGGGCAGGCTCATCCGGCTAAGTACCACGACCTCACAGAAGACCGGCGTAAAGTGAAAGTATAATACTTTCGCGTTTCGTCTGGTGAGTGAGGTGGCCGGAGCCCAATTTTCAAAAGGTTGTCAACCCATCTGCAACCCTCGGGTGTAGCACATGTTCATGGGCGGCGGCATTCACTTAACATCAGGTGAACCGTCTGCTCGCTTGGTAACTTTTCGCATTAAAAAATCGCTTAAGAACAATTCACCAAAAAGTGAGAAAGAAAAAAAAAACAAGTAGAATAATATTTTAATTTTGTTAAGAAAAAAAAAATGACAAAAAAGAGGATACGTACAGAGTTTCTGTCGCCTGTTTCTTCTCCGTTAGAAGGAACCTCATTGAGAAAAGGTGGTGAATTAAAAAAAATGACTATCGATAAATGAAATGGTTTTTTTTATGTCGATTATTAAATGATTTTGATTTTGACTGCGACTGCAAAACTTAAAATTTCTCTAATGACGTCTGTACCTTTTCAAACCTAACTCATGTAAAGCACATACCGGAAATCAAAGCCCGCACACGTCGCTGAAACTTATCCTGGCGACCGCTTTCGCTACTTCCGCGTCCACTAACAGCCTAATCCAGCCCGCTCTTATCGTGTAGGTATCCCTAAATTTCGCCTTATCTCATCTACCTCACGATGCTCAACATCAGCTTAGTGGAGCTAATCCTTTGTACTTAAGGTGAAGAAAGAAATGAAAATGCATGTTTTAATTTCTTTTCGCATACATACATCGTAAATTTATTAGGTATTATCTACCTCAGCTGTGTAGCTTACACACTACACAGTGTGTACAGTGTGGGTAGGTTTTAATTGTAGTGTTGGAGACACATTGATAGAAATTTTATTTTCGAAGGCGAGAAAACTGATTTATTTGCTGTTTAAAATGCGTGAAACGAACCAGTCATTTGATAAGGATATAATAAAAAAAAATATTTCTTGCAAAATGCCTTACTAATATTATTATATTGATTAACAGTATTAATTGTTTTAAATTTAATATCCACAATATAAATTTAAATAAAAAAAATTGAAGTTTGGTTGAGGTCTTCTTCAAAGATTGTCAGATACAGACAAATATACTTTGTAGTAATTCATTTCCTTCGTAGGCAAAGACGTAAGAAGGAAATAAATAAATACGATAACAATTTCGTAAAGGGGTAAAGAAACATTATTCTGTTATTCATTTTAGCCGTGGTAGAACCACGCAACAGTCTGCGCAGTTGCAGGAATAAGCCAGGTCTGTCCGGGTAAACCACGACCATAGAAAAACCATCATAGAAGGCGTGAATCGTAACGCTTCCAGTGTTATACTTCTGCGTTTCGTCTCGTGAAAGGCTAGCCGGGGCCCACTATAACAAAATGCGGCAACGC